GCCGAGTTGATTAATCCTGAGATGGAAAGTCCTACGTGTTGATTTAAGTTAATGCAGTTAAGTGTCTGATGACTGAATGAAAGCTGTCGTCAATGGTCCAATACTGAGACTCCATGGCAACGGGTAAATAAAGGGCAGAGCCTCTTTTTTAATCGAGTGGAGCCACTAAGATTAATGTGACGTGTTCAAAAGTTGCCTGAGCAACAGCACATTTGCGCTCTTTGTTTAAACTGCCCCTCAGGAGCAAAACAATAATGGTCTTAATTTCTGTCGTCATAGATGCACATGAATATCCCACAGGAGATCTGGGGTGGTCATGTGGCACGACCATCATGTACCGTATAGGTTGTGGAAATAATGAACCAAGAGGTTCACAATTTCTGTAATGTATTATTTCACAGACTTTATATTTTACATTTCCACTTAGTTATGTGAAAGAATAACAAAACATTTAAATATACTAGACAAATGTTTTCACCATGTTAACCAGGGTTAACGTGCTCTTCCCATGTTCTAGTGCGTTTTGTTTCTGACCCTGTGACACTGTCTGACTTAAAAAGTGGGATAGATGGATGGTTGGATGTTCTCTCAGTTGACATTTTGAAACAGAACGGCTGCTCAGTCCTGAGTGTCCCTGCAAGTCGTGACAGCGGTGCACATATTTCCAGGACCCTGACACCCACACAGCTAAATAAAACTCAGCCATCATTTTTATTTACACCATTTGCCACATGTTTGCCTTGTGGTCAGCTGGCTGGTGTGTGAGTGTAGCAGCAGGTTGTGATTAAGGCCTTTAATATCAACATCTGGCAGCTTCAGGACATTGACGATCAAACTGGACTGAATAGTTTCAATGTCTAAATGTCGCTTGCTGTTTAAATCTTGTTCGTCACGCAGCAGAGTTTTAAAAATAAGTATATGAATCTATAAATGAAACCTGCTGTGTTTTTGTCTGGATGATGATCTGTGTGTGGCCTCTGATAAGGAGGTGATGAGACTGCCCTCTAATGGAGGAAAATTAAACAGACTTGCAGTAAATTTTATTCCACAATGTCAAAAACACTGAATGTACAAAAGTGTCGGGGAATTCATGTTTAACACAGCGATGGTACAGTCCTGCAAACAGTGAACTAAAATGATGATGGACGCCATCAGCTGCTCATACATCACTGGATGCCACATTTCAGGTCTATCTGTGCTTCTTGAAGGCTGCAAAGAGAAATAGGTGATTATAATGATAAAATAAAATTCAAACAAAAGAGCAGATTCTTTGCTTCTGAAATATTTAAAGTAATGAGGCCAGTGCTACATTTTCAAAAGCACGCTGAAGACGAGATATTAAATATTTTATTCGAAAAATTTGTCCCTAAAAAAATGTTATAAAGCAGATACAGTAAATAGTCGGGGTGTAACAAACACTGGTAAACATTTGACTAAATGCAGATTCTACACATCTGGTGCCGGAGCAGAAGCAGCAATAGAATTTCAAAATAAGAGCTGAAGTTGTTTGACCCCATTTTCTGTCTCTTTAGAAGAATTTATGTCCTTACCTTTTCTCTTGGTTTTCTTCTTCATGAGTTTCTTCTTCTTCTTGGGACGAGCGCCGTCCCCATCCTGCATCAAGAAAGACAAAACAGTCATCTCAGACCAACCCGCAGCAGCAGAGTTGTGTCAAACATCAAGTGTGTGCAAATAGTCATTATGAGTTATTTTAAACGTTATGTTCTCTTCAGTCTGGAACCTGAATAGTCCTGAGTAAATGCAGGTCAGCTGGTCTGCTGCAGGATAAGTGGAGTTTACATCATCAGAACAATGTGTGGACTAAACGTCAGATGTTTCCTCCTCAGGTCCTGTCAGAACTCACCTGTCTGCCCTCGCCACCCGTCAGCGCTGAGATGTCACTGAAGTGTGTTATACCGCTCAGCTGACCAGACATGCCCATCGTGCCTCTCTTCCTGGAGCTCTTCTGATGCTTTGGTACGTTAAGACGCACCATCATCGACTCCTCATATTTTTTCCTGAGAAGAAGAAAAGACCATTTAGAACAAAGAATAAAGAACATTTCGAAATTCGGGTTGTGAAACACAAAGTATCAGTCACTGGATGAGAACAGAAAGGACGATAATAAGAAGGAGGCGACTCACCGGTGTGTCTCATCGCGGCTCTCCCGTTCGCTCTGGAAGTCCTGTCTGTCCCTGATCTCCTCGGGCGCGTCACTGTATTGTTGTCTCAGCTCTTGGATCACAGAGCTTCTCAGAGCAGCTTGCCGCTGACGCTCCACCTGAGCCTTCTTCTTGTCGGTCTCAGTTATATCACCGTCTGCAGAATAAAAACCATTGAGGTCTTATAAAGAAGAAGTCTTCAGTGTTTCCTCAAGGATTTGTTTTAGTCGTGTGGGCAGACCAGTCTGTGAGGGTCTCATGTCAGGGCTGCATCCTTCAAAGGCTGCATTTAAAGACTGACTGTGTCACAGCGACGCCTCCATTTCCCAACCCAACCTATCCCAGAATTCATTGCACTTCTGAGACAAACTGTTTTCAAAGACGTAATGGCAACAGCAAGCAATGAGATCATGAGGGAGAATACTTTGATGGTGATCGGGCCTGACGTGCTTCAGCCCTGATCCTGAAACCGTGGCGTTAATAATTTTGCCGTAGAGGATAAATATTCACATCACTCATTTCAAACTTCCACAGAAAAAGAAAGCAAAGAAGAGAACACTGTTTAAAAAGACAGACAACTTTACCATAATGCACTGGGGCAATCTTCGGTGGAATATATTTCCTGCCACTAGAGTACGCTGCTCTCTTCTCCGAGACTGTCGTTGTCTCAGCTTCTTCTTCAGACTCCTCAGATTCATTCAGCTGATTGATTGATCATGCACAAAGATGAATAAATTAGACACATACAAATCTCTTCGCTATTTATAAACTATATGTGTGTTTTGTTAATACAGCCAGTGGTAGACTGATGGTTTTAATGAATATTAATCACATACAGGGAACAATGGGACATTCAGGGAATACAGATGTGTTATGATGTTGAGGACTTACTTTGCTGATGAGATTCTCAGGATTGGGACGCAGCTGCAGTGGGTCGTTTTCAGCTAAAAGAAAATAAAACACATGAGACGCTGCTGTGAACAAGCCTCGCACCACAGTGTTCATTGTTCCATATGTGTAACTAGACGACAACATGTTGCTCAGCAGATTGTAACTGGGCATTAACATGTATTTACTGAGTGTGAGATTCTGACATAGCTGTGGAGACTTAGGATTTATTAGTGCATTCACTCATCTCACCTAAACTTCCAGTAACAGCCGTTCGAATCAGTTTATCAATCTGGTATTTGAGTTTGTTGTCTAGGGGTCGCATCTTCTCCAGAACCTAAAAAAGAAGAGGCAACATGATAAACCACCTGCACCAGATGAGAATGAACAGATGTCATTGTTATTATCTTGTTATTATCATTGTGACGTCTCACCGTTCTGATTGTGACCACTCTGTTCAAGGCTTCGCTGTCTTTTATTTTGCCTCCCTCGCTCTTGATGCTGATCAGGTGAGTGAGGTCCTGGAGGTAGAAGAGCAGCAGGTGATAGCGAAGGTCCAGGCAAGACAAACCCTGCAGAGAGAGGACAGAGTCAGGGAGGACAAATTACACAGGGACAAAAGACATAGTGCTGTATGTTCAAACAAAGTAGACAGAGAGACAGAACTTCGCTGATATCTGGATGAAGAAAAGTCTTCAACACTCAAATGAATCAAACGGCACAAACCAGCACATCTGTATGAACCTGCAGATGTTGGCCTGTTCCACAAAGTTTTCATCAATTGATCTTCAATAACAGACGTGACAAAGTCCCTGCTCACCTGTGATGTCTTAAATGTCCCATCCTTGACTTTGGTCAGCAGCTCACGGACATGACTTGTGACTGAGGCCACCTGTAGAGAAAAGAGAAAGAGTTACAGCTCCTCTATCAGCGACAAAGACTCACACCTATCGCTCCAGGAAGGGGTGCTGCATTCATGATAAACCCTGACGGTATTACTCTGTCACTAACCGTGTATTAAACCTGAGTAGACTTATGACTTCATGCTGTGTTTGGACTTTAACTCGTCAGTGATGATCGTGGTGAAAACGTGACATCAGCGTGTTGTAGTCGTACCTGTTCAGTGAGGTTGTTCAGCAGATCCACAGCTTTTGGCAAATCACTTTCAATTAAATCCTGTGATAAAGTCAAACCACAGTCAGAAACACAAAGACACACAGACACAGTACAAACACAACACTTCCAGTGCGGCAGGAGAACTCTGTTAGCTCGTGGCTAGCTGTTAGCTTCATTTTAAAAACTGCTACGACCAACCACGGAGGGTCGGTTTCAGAAAACAAGCCTAAGAACCGCGGTAGACTTTGGTTTAAAGTATAAAGAAATAATATCGATGTTTTTAATAATCAGCAGCTCACTGAGCTCGACTCACGTTGTCAACAGGAGCCGCCATTTTGAAAGCTACTACTCTACGGAAGCCGCAGCGGATCACGTTTGGCGTTCTCGTTTTTTTTACTGTTAAATAAATAAAACATTTTACAACATAAATTACAGTTAATTAAATAAAGTCAATAATATGATCTACATATAACGGAGCATACATGTAGATACATATATAGATTAAATACAGACAAGAAGATTAATCAAATTAGATTGAAAAATACAATTAAATAAGTTAAATAAAGGTGCTTTTAATACCTGTAGGGTATCAATAAAGTTCAGCAGTTATTTTGTTGTTTTATTCTACATTTACATCAACAGGTTAAAACTGACCAGATAATGATACTTGTTTTGAAAACCTAAAAACGTTTTCACTTATTTTGTCGATTTTCTGTTGGTTTTTTTGCCCCTGTACTCTACATGTGGCAGAGAGGAAGAGCGACAGAGGAAGTGATGGAGTGATCACCACCATCATCATCATCATCATCACCATCAGAGGAGGAGAACCTGCCTCTGACTCTCAGACCTTCTCCAGTCATAGGAGCCTGAGGAAGAGTCATGGTGAGTCCCATCACAGCTTTACCCTCCAGCACTTACACGTTCAAAACTAACTGGCTCTTACTCTAACTTTTCTGTCTTTTTTAATTAAGATAGGGCTGTATGTAACAGTTATTTTATTTAGTTATTAATTTACAGATTAGCCAATCAACTATCCTATTTATTGTTTGGAACCTAATTTTATATATTTTAATGTCCAAAGGTTTCCTTTCACAGACAGAAGAGAATATTTACATTCGAGAAGCAGCTCCTAAAGTAACTTAAATTATTCAGTAATTATCAAAATTGTTGCTCATTAATTTGACTAAAAACATTAATGGTCCAATTATTACTGATCAGCTTTAGAGTTGCACTTAAATAACCTTAAATCTGAAAGATAACAATATTATCTGATGCGATCTCAGATATATTGCAGTTATTGGTTTATTAAATTAAATTTTATTCCTTATTATATTCTTCATCTATCCTTCTGAAATTCACAAACTGCCTTCATTTTTAAAAAGAAAATAAATACAGAGAGAGAGACATGTCTGATGGAAGAAGTACTTAAAACATTTTAAAAACTTAAATTAGACATAACAATTCATACTTTAGTTAAAGTAAATAAAAAAGAGAAATACATTAAAAAATAAATACAATAGAATGTGAACAATCATTATATTTCCATTAACATGTAATATGTATGTATTTGTATGTTGCAGTTTAATTCCAGTGTTAAAATTCCTTTACGTGTTAAAAGTTAGGCAAGGCAAGTTTATGTATATAGTATAACAACAAGGCAATTTAAAGTGCTTTCATAAAATCTTAAAGGTATCAGGAATATTATATTTGATTTGGCAGAAAGCTGTGGAAAGTCTTCATCATTAGTTTAAAATAACTTTTTTTACCAGACCTGCAGTTCTCATATGTGCAGCATGAAAACCGAACACTGCTCTTCTATGTTTCGTTTTGTCTCTGGGGACAGAAAGCAGACCTGCTTCACACGACCGGAGGAGTGTGGATGGTTCATAACGTAGCAGCAGTTTGAAAAATGTATTAAGCCCTAAACCATTCTGAGCTTTATAAACCAGTGGCAGGATTTTGAAGTAAATTCTTCAACAGACAGGGACCCGGTAAAGATGTGAGAGCTGCAATGATATGATTCTTTTTTCTGATGTGAGTGTGGAATTCAGCTGCCGTGTTTCAACCAAAGTTTTTTTAATTTTTCAAATATTTAACATGAGAAATACAACTTGAACACAGGACAGTTAACACAAGTTTCTGTCTCCAGAATGTCCCCCTGCCCCAAATACAGTTTCTTACAGCCAGTCATCCATAAAACAAAATACAGGAATGAATTTGTTGAGGTCAAAGCACACAGCAGATAAAAACAATTATAACAATAAAGGAAAGTAAGAAAGGGTTGTTGGCGGCTGCCATACCTTCTACAAGGGAAATTAATGGTTGCCACTCCATGGCATAACATTTACTAGTGGACCCCTTGATGGCATATCCGAATTTTCAGGGGTGGATATGACACAGAACCTCTCTGATCTCAACGATCCATAGTCAGAGACCATGCAGAGCAGCAACATTTTAAAGAGTCTTCTGTCTCGCTCTGCTTCTGAACACCTCCAGATGTCTGATGCCAGGGTTTCCTCCGTCATCCAGGAGTGGGCGAGTTCCTTCTCAGGTCAGGTCCCTGCCATGAACCCATCCGTCGCCTCCTCCAGCCAGGCCGAGGCCTCCGCTCAGATGTCTCACATGGAGATGATGCCATACGGCCAGGCTCAGGGAATGTTGAGGGAGGGCGGTGACGACAGTGTGGCCGAGCAGATGATGGGTCTGTCCTACCTGCCGTACTCAACGTCCTGCCTCGGCAACCCCTCGAATGCGGCCAGCAACAACCACCACCAGAGCCACACCGGCACTCCACAGGTGACTGAGGCTTTTGGTGCAGAACTGATAGAGATGTCTTTGTTCTGAGATCACATGTGAAAAGAGTGTTTAGACAAGACATATGTTAAATACAAATAAACTTTAAATATGCAGGCGGCTCTGTAGCAGTCAGTGGGGGTGAGGCAGTGTGTCAGAAGTTGACTGTCTTCTTTTAAGTCCTCTGATGACCTGCAGGATTGGTCGGTAACTGGGCCAAACTGCGGGTCTTGATTAGAAATTTGATCAAAATTAATGAATGCACAATTGCAAATGGAGAAGGATATGATTGTCCATACACCTGTAACACGATATCTGGCTGAAATGTAGAATACTCTGAGGATGGTATCTATCTTGTTTTATTTTTCACTTTAGTTGTAACTTTCACTTGTAACAATTTTATCTTTACTTATCATTATAGTAACTTATCTTCTTAGTTTTTTCTTGTGCTTGTGTATTTTTATTCCTGTTTAAAAACTATATTTGTAGACCACTTGAAAATGTTGGAAGAGCTTTGTTGTAACGGAAAGTTAAAGATTGTATGTGACCAATGTTCTTGATTCTAAAATAAATAAATTCAAAATAAATGCTCAGAGAGGGAAACCCATCAGCCACTGGCATTCTAAAGTGTGATTGTGACCCCCAGGAATTCTCTCCCTTCCTCCTGCCGACGCTGAGGGCCCCGTTGACCAAGAGGAGCATCAGCAAGGACAGCGTTGAGTACCGGCAGAGGCGCGAGAGAAACAACATCGCCGTGAGAAAGAGCCGGGACAAGGCCCGCAGGAGGATCCTGCTGACCCAGCAGAGGGCCATGCAGCTGCAGGAGGAGAACCAGAAGCTGCAGCTGAGGATAGGGCAGCTGACGCAGGAGCTGGAAACTTTCAAACACATCCTGTCACAGCGACACTTGCAGGGGGCCGAGGAGGGCGCTGCAGGGGAGTCCGGTATCTGAGCATCACCTTCTCATCTACACCCAGGTCCAGGCATCAGATCTGTTCTTATGGCCTCTAGGTATCTCTCCAATACTCACAGTCCAGAGCCTGCAACTGGTTTATTTTAAGCCGAGAAGAAGACGTGTGTGATCATTTACAAAGTCCTCTTTAAAATTAGTGTTGTGGGGTCGTGAGGTATTAAGTGTTTAATAAGTTAAGAGAAAAAGCACATGACAGTGGCAGTACAGTAAATATATTTGGACTATAATAGAAAATTTAAGTTTTCTCCTTTTGGCAAATATAACCCATGATAGCTGTAAAGAAAATAGAGGACAATTTTTAGTTTGAAAAAAAAAGTATGGATTAATGTATACATACAGATTATAGTTTGGATTGAATCTGAACTTTATATTGAGGAAATTAAAAAAAATGCCTGTCACAGAATTACAGAATGTAATTACTTTATTCAGAAGTAAAAACTCATAAATGTAATTGTTAATATTAGGTTTTCTAACCTTAAACATAGTTTTAACAAGTCAAAAACCAAAATCACTTATTTCAGCTTGTTTCAATGTTTTTTTGTCTTTGTCCAAGGAAATATTTCATTTGGTACTTAATCAATATAAAGCTTTCAACTGTATCATACATATAATTAGAGAGAAACTCATTAATTTAGCTGTAACAAATCAAAGTTATTGTTTTTGAAGGACACAATGAAGACACCATAGATCCAGAGTATTGTTTGAGGCCCAGATGCACAGCTTTCAATCTTAAACTTAACAGTTTCAGCTCTGCCAAGTCACAAATGCTCAGCAGTGATTGGACAGAAGCTGTTTGAGAATAAGGACAGCATTTTATTTTGGGAAATGAAATCCGTAGACTATATAACAGTTATCAGAAAAATAAACAATCAAAAAAAAGCTGAACATTTGACCCTTTTTCTGGATTAAGAGGGATTTTGTCATGGCCTCTGTATATCTGAAATTGTGGCTCTGACCCTGTACACTGGAGCTTTTACTGCTTTAGTGCTGTTACTGTTATACTATAAATCCTATCGGCAGATGTGTAGTGGATCTGAATGTAGATGCTGTAGCTGTAAATTAACTGTAAAACGCATTGCCGTGGACTGACTTGTTCTTTTATTTGGTTCAATCTAACAAACATTGCCTCATCACCATCTACCTGATACTTCAGCTGTCTACTGAGTGTAGTTGCCCAACACGAGTTTCACAACGATATGTGGTTTGTCGAGGATTCAATGAAATCTTTCTCTGTATAATACTCTAAGTAGGTGTGGGATTACTTGAAATGATTTTTACATCTGTAAAGATTTGTTTTATAAATGTATGATAATACACTGTTAAAGCAATACTTTGCCATGTATGTTCTTAAATAATAAATAAATAATTGCTCGTGCCTGAATGAAACCATTATTTTTTCCTATGTTTGGACAGAGTATCCTAATTTAACATAGAATGCAGCTCACAGCCTTCACAAACCATGTGGCTTTGATTCAAAGAAGACGTGATTATGCTTTAATGCCCCTCGCAACCCTTCTCTACACCCTTCATTGGGGGGTGAACATGCACCTGTCACGTCATTTACCAAAAGCTCTCAACCCACAGAAACGGACGTCACGCCGTGGGCCGTTGTGCACCAGCGGTTTCCCTTTGTGGGATGGGCAAGATTTCGACACAGCGGAGGACGGGAGGATGAGAGGGGAGAAAGAGATAGTATCAGTGTTTGGAGCTGCCAGGGCCTTCCTGTGGCTGTGATGCTACTGAAGGGGCAGAGAGATAGGGGTGGGGTGGGAGTGGGGGTAGGGTTACACAAAAGACACATTTTGTTATTTCATTAAACTTAACTCAAGTTCTAACATTTGATAAAACATTTCAATATTGTGGATGAGTAGAGTGACTCACAAAAATTCTTTATCAAATTAAGATTTGAATTGTTTTTTTTTTTACCTTTAATCCCATTTTAGTTTTATTGCCTGTTGGGCAACAAAGACCGACTGAAGGGACACGGATACAGATGTTCACTTCTGTTTTATACAAATGTTGTACTTTTTTTACTCTATGAAAACTGAGCTGAACTGACAATAACGACATCCCATCAGCTCACACAGTCAACAGTTTGATTAATCCAAGAGCAGCTAAATCTTATTACATATCTAATAGTGAACTGTGGGCACTAACATCTTGTCCTGTGTTAATGCTCCATATACTTCAGAATTATTTCTTGTCATTAGTGAGTCCTCCTCAAAATGCAAACTTTTTTAAAATTATTTTTGTGCAGAGCATTTTTTATACACAGTCTATGGTGCAGAGTGAAATTTGAAAATGTTGTGCGTTCATCCTACCTGGATTATCTGCAGTGAAGTTTCATTGTCAATGTTTTCCTGAATTTGAGTGTGGTTTACATATAAATTGATGATTAACTTGTGTTATTTTTATACACAAAGAAGAGAAATACGTTTGTGGTATGTGAAGGTAGATTAAAGATCATGAGTCTGCACAGATAATCCATTTTATTAACTACAAACTTAACCGAGGAGTTTATAGGGAACAGAAAACACAACGCTCTACATGAACCTGAAAAGTGCAAAAACAGTTCACACAAATCCTGAAGCCTGTTTCCATGGTAATGAGGCGATGAGCCACAAATACATGATTCCTCAAATAAGTAATAACTTTGTGTCCTTTCAGTGATGAGCACTTAATTTACTCTGGAGAGTGAAAGTGTGACAGAGGCCTGCATTCACTCACACAGGCACAAAATGATTTGTTGTGTGAACGTGTCTGTTGAAATGTCCTGCAGCGTTGTGTGGGGAAATCTGTGGTCCCGGGACTGCAACATCTCCACAGAGTGAAGAAAGACTGTGTTTCACCTAATCCCTTCCAGGTTACTCAACAGCAGCAAACCAAGGCGAACTCCACCACAGCCCCAGTGAAGCGGCTCCGCTCTTGCAGTTACCATGTGAAGTTGTTTTTGTTGCAGCCAGTTGCAGCTTTTGTCTCCAGACCAGAGACTGATAGAATCCATCAAGATCAATCCTATATCACGAACAATCAAGATTGACTCCAAATAACAGAAACTTGAACTTTTTCCATTCATTTCAACACTCGTGCACTAAAGGAGAAACAGCCCAGCACATTTCTGCGGTCAGACGCTAGTTCTCATAGCTTCAGTTTCCCACCACACATATAAAAATGTAAAGGTGAAATTAATTGGTCCTGCAGTAATGTGAGGTGCTGTTCAGAGGTTATTTAGCATTGTTTACTTTTCATTTCTAGGTAAAGTGATTTAAATGCTTATGTTGTGTCATATTTGTGTGTTATCTTGATACGTGTGTGTGTGTGTGTGTGTTTGCTTTGAGAAAGCCATTTTGAGCCTGGAACCTACAAAGTGAGGACCTTTTGTAAAAGTGTGGATATTTTTAGCCAATCTTCACTTTCTGACCCAATTTTAAAATACTGTTTGAGGGTTAAGGGCCCATCACTCATATGCAAATAATTCAGAAGTCTCTAATCTGTGTGAGCATAAGGGGGCGAATAAAACATTTGCTTCCTGTTACGTGACAAATCACATAGTGGCTTTACTTAGAGCTCAACTTGGGTAAACTTTAACCGACAACATTCTTTTGGCATCAGGTCTGAGTAACTGTGCACTCAGAACTGACTTTTATGTGTGTGTGATCCAGGTATTACCTCAATCTTTTAACACAGTCTCATTATGGGCACTTGTGTTGCTTATGGGGACACAGATCTAGTCCAGTTCATTCTGTTTTAGAGTGGTGATGATATTTTGGCCGATACCTTTGGTTAGGTTAGGTTAAGGGTTACGTGTGTGTTGTTTGTGTGTACCTGCAGGAGAATGAACTGTCTTGGCACCATCAGGTGTAGCTCAGCAGTCATTACGTGTATTTTGAAGGCAACAACAAACACAGAAGTCTCAATAATACTGTGTTGTCAATACTGTAGTTTCCTCTATGACTTTCAGGGTACCAGCTAAATAATAATAAATTAATAATAAATATCCAGAATCAAGACAATAAACATTAAATCTACTGTATACAATTTATAAAACAGCAGCTTCAAAATTAGTTTGATCATTCAGCAACTTTGAAGAGGGAGAATGTTTCCTCTTTCATTCCCAACCCTCACTCTGAATATCTTAACTTAACTTTGGTGAGTGGGTTTGATCTCCTGTGAAGAAGTGTGTGTGGAACGTACTGACTGTCGCAGACATTGACTGTGTGTAAAAATGCTGCAGCCAAGGATGCTGGAAGTAGAGGTTCTAAGGGGGCTGCAGCACCTTCCACTGGCAAGAGGCTGTAACAGCAAGGCAAATAAAACAACAACCCCATATTATCAGAAACAGGTATGAACTGATAGATACTAAACTGGTGTAGAATGTTGTTGGCTGTTCTAAATAATAAAAAAAAATAGAGAAATATTTTAGCAGCACTGCATTTGTATGATGTCATTATGTAGATTTTCTCAGAGCCTCCCAACTCTGACCAACTTCCAGCATCTCTGTATGCAGCTTAAATGACCAGAATTCATTGATTAAAAATGAGTTTATCGCCAATATTCAGCACGGAACATTAAAATATCAGAATTCTAAACAGAGTTTGGTGGATATGTAACAGCGGCAGCTCTTCGGGTTCAGTAAGCCAGGGATTATGGGAAACATCCACCATTCAGTTGTTTTTCTTTCCAGGGTTTCAAGTCAGAGAGTGGGACTGTAGCAGCTTTCCATTAAGACCTACATGTCTTACAAACCTTTTGACACGTAGGCAGCTGCTGTACAAAAGATAGCCCACATGTTACCTTTGCATATGAGTCCCACACATGGTGTGACGTAAAACACATCCTTCATAGAGTTCATTAATCTATGGGTAAACATTGCTTGCTTTAATCAATTATCCGCCATCAACACGGTCAAAACCATAAACCTCCATGGCCACATGCAACATTACTGACCTACCTGTCATCCTATTTTAAATCTAGTTCCTTTTGTAGGGAACCCAGTGGTTTTGCACAGCAACAGAAAACACAAACAAGTGGATTTATAAAACCATGTGTGGCTCCTACAGGGACCATACACAATCAGAGATCCTGTTAAGTCATTAATAGTTGATTAGCTTACTTGTGGCTGCAGAGGGCGCTGTTGCTTAGTAAAAGTTTATAGTGTTGCTTTAAAGGTCCAGTGTGTAAGATTTAGGTGAAGGGGATTTATTGGCAGAAATTTAATGTACAATAATCCTCATGATGTCTTCACCCTAGAAAAGGCCATTTATATTTAAATACTTTATATTTATATGGAGGGGGGGTCCTCTCTACGGAGGCTGCCATGATTTTTACATTAGTCCAGACTGGACTAACTAAACACCTTTTGAATTTTTATGATAATTGAAGGTTGCCACAGGTTCTTTTTCGTGTTTGGAAGGAGAGGGTGAGGTGAGGGGTGTTCAGCTGCAACATGCAACTTCAACAGTAAATATCACTCAATTCTACACACTGTACCTTTAATCCAGACTGCTGTTCATGTAAAATGGAGTAAATCTAGATTTAGCTGCTGTATCCACAGCGGAGAGAAATACTGATTAAACTTTGAACCATTAAATAACCATAAGAAAAACAGTCTGTACCTTCCTATGTATGGAGGCGCAGTGTTTTACACATGTCCCAGTGCTGATCTATGATTTATGGATTCTCCAGGAGGCTGAGGACTACATGGAGGCCCTCTGTAGCAGAGAGCTCACAGAGAACAGAGCTCTCACTCTGTTCTCTGATTCTGTGGACCACTTCTACTATCACTACCAACCTGCTGTGTTTTAACTGTGTGAGGGCTGGCATCTAGGTGTAGAGCTCCCTGCCTTTAGTAGGACTGCTGTGGGCAGGTAAAGCTTATTAATTGTCTGAGGCCGGGTAGATGTGTGACTGCTGTGTTTCTCCAGGTAAGGGATATTTGGAAACAAAGATGGGTTTTGTTGTCATGCAGGAAAGGTTTCTTGTATATCTAGTTGTGGTGTAGATCTGTACTAATACAGATTGATGTATTCTCTGTAGCCCCATGGCGAAGAGAACCATCATGAGAATGCTGTATTTTTGATTCAACGATATTACTTATATCACAATAACTCTTGTCCACTGAGATTCAATTTGCTATTCATCATCCGTTGTCTTATATTGTCATACACACACATCCTTGCATGCATCGTAGAAGGCCTGAAGGGTGGTGGTCACAGTTTGGTGGCTTGTTTTTCCTTGCAGCCACTGTGTGCACATGTGGTGGTTATCATAGGGGTCTGCGACAGTGGTGGAGGGGCCTGACTGGGAGCACCGGGACTTTCCCCAGTGGCTTGATGAGCGTTTTGGCTTCTGTTGACTGCTGGTAACAGTTGACCAATACAAGCAGGGATGAGTTGACAGATCTCAACCACTGCATCGGCTGCACCTCCTAATGCAAACAAATAAACATATCAAAACATGGAAGGACAACCTTTATCTGTCATGATGTAACTGTATGCAAACCTAATTCAGCTCCATTAAAAATATGTTTTAAACAACATTTAAGTAATTAGATTAACGTAAGAAAATGAAACAGCAGCTTAAGTTTGGTCTTTATATAGTGGCTGATTATTTGTCTAACAACAAATCAATTCACTGACTTGTCTATAATCTTTAATAATCATGATATGTAACAATATATATAACCTGAATCAGCAGAAGGTAAAAATGCGATTCACTACGGAGTGACTCGTCATTGCGCGTAGACGATCTTCGGCAGCAGTGACACGAGGGGACGTCGCTCTGACGGGTTCAGCCGAACATTGCCGAAGTGAGCCGGAGCCCCTCGCACCTCTGATCGGGCTCCTCTCGGTGTCACAGCGGCTCTCTGTCTGGAGGACTGTGCGTTTCCCGGGGCTGGAGTCACACGCACTTTACCCGCTGTCTCACGGACGTGTGTTATGTCAGCAGGCGGACACCAGGACTCACGCAGCGGCTGCAACAGAGCGACGTAGCATCCCCACATCTCCAGGCGGCGGAGGGTTCGCTGTGCTCGGCTCCGACAGCAGCAGCAACCCGGTGTCCTTTGTTGTGTCGGCGGCGGCGGCAGCAGCTGGTGTTGCTCGGAGACGACGACATGTCTGCGGGACAGAAATGTGTCTTCGTGTGAGGGACGGAGCCTCCTGACGTCGAGGCGCGGAGGAGATACGGTGACTGCGGAGAAAGTAGCCTCGAGTCTCCGCTGTGCCTCCTCCTGCAATGTTTGGATAACGGCGGCACCTCGTCACACATTTAACGACGTTTGAGACGGTGAGTACCGTCCGTGTCCTCCAGAGCTGCGACGGCAGCTGCGGGTCTGAACAGGGGGGCAGGTGAGTCCTGCCGCCCCGGTACAGCTCGTACCCAGCTGCAAGTTACATCACCGTTTCATGGGTGGCTTGGTGAGTCTGTACCTCCACAGAGAGCAGCCAGACCCCGGTGGGTTTCATTCCCACACCCCCCTGTTAAAGCTCTTATGTAACCATGTGGGATTCCTTTCTGTCAGACTTCCTGTGCAGGAGACACACACACACTGGATGGAAGACGTCCATGTGTCCTACACAGGAGGCTGCTGAGGACAGGGTTAGGACCGGGTCTGACTGCACAGGAACATGCACATGCATAGACTAATGTTAGCTGCTTAGGTATGGCAAAGAAATTCTTGAAATGTTCATCATAGGTGCACTGACCTGTTATGTGGTTCAACCGGTGTAGCAAGTCGAAGTTGTTGAGGACACAGTTAGGAGAGGGTTAGACTGCTTAAAGTCGTACAAGGACAAGGTTAATACTTAAGGTAGACCGGGGGCACACAAGGGCGATACTGGATTTTCTGCTTCACTTCAGGTTTCTGTCTCCAGATGTTTGGGTTCAAAATCTGTGGGAGAATGTTTTTATCCTGTGCTGGTCAATATAAGTAGTTGTATGTCAATTTAAAAAGCCTCCATGCCTTTGTACGTAAACAGTCTCAATCATATCAGTCAGTGAGGCTCTTCACTAAAGGTGAGTTTGTCAAGTTATTTTAAAAGAAATTGTCTGATGTCATGTTTTTGTCGAAAACCTCAAAGATATAAGTCGGCAGAGAAAAAATAAGCAAGTCTTCCCAATTGTGGGGATGGAACCAGAAAGTTATATCTTTGAGAAAACATTGTTGGATGTCCCATCCACTTATGTGGAGGAGGCAGGGTTTATGACCTATTGTGCAGACAAACACCAGCAGGTAATTGAGATGCTTGGGCTTCACTTTTGGGCGGCTGTCATCCATCTTTATATCAATGTCCTGCCCCTCACAGCAGACATTTGGACTTGTCATAGTAGGAAACAGGGGGCGCTGCTCAGTTCAGCCATCGATGGTTGATTATTCCCCTCTGTGACGGGTGTTAATATCTCCTGGGACACACATCATTCCTCTATGGGCTGTAATTATTCCTTTTCTTCCACAGACCTCCCTACGTCTCTCCCCTTCTACGAGGGAACAAACCACTACGACAGCACCGACCTCACCCCTCCGACCTCTGCCTGTAACTCTCCCGATGATGACGTCCCCGGACTCTCCCCCTCTCGTCTCTCCTTCCCCATGCCCCGCTCCGCCTCCGTCTGTCCCCTCCTCTCCTGTGCCCTCATCCCCAGCCCCGTCCTCCTCCTCCCTGCCCGCCCCACCTTCGCTGCCTCCCACAGGAGAGGTGATGGTGCTGGCGCTGGGCAGGAAGAAGCAGAGGGTGCTGATTGCTCTCACCATCCTCCCCAACCTCTTCCTGGCCTTCCTGCTCTCCTCTGACCCACTCATCACACTCTCCCCGCCCCACCACTGCCACCTGCCAGGGCCCCTGCCGTCTTTGGAGGTGCTGAATGCCTCGCTGCCGTGGGAGAAGGCGGAAAGGCCTCGGGACAGCAGGGGCCCATCCCAGTGTAAGCAGTACGCCAACGGCAGCCAGTCAGCAGTGGTGGACTGTGAGGCCGGCTGGGACTACAACGTCACAGAGGGGCTGAGGAACAACATTGTTACCGAGGTAAAGCTTTAATTACAGTCCTGACCTTTTTCACTGTCTCAGCATTTTGTTTGTGTTGACTTAAGTTTGTTCCTCTTTTAATTTTCGTGCTGAGCGTGCAGTCTCTCTTTTTGCAATGCTCTGCTAAACTTAAATACGGCTGCACATGCTTCTGGATCCAGAGCGGCTCCTCAGCAGCTTTTAAAGGACCAGAGCAGTTTTTTAAGTCATTAATTGGCTCTTCTGTTAAATAAGTGTTGATAATTTTACAAAGCATAAGAGCCCTTGATCTTGAATCTTGCTCTAAGTGTCCTTTATCTTTAAGTGAAGCTTGTTGTGGTTTGTTTGGGCACAGGGATCGTTGTGAAAACTCCTCCTTTTTGTAAGGGGTGTGTTTAAGCCCTGATCCCATTTTCCTACACAAACCACCTGTTGTGGTTAAGAAGGGATCCAGTATAATCTGCTGCTGTTGTCCCATACACACCACTGCTAAACTACAGAATTACCAAGAACCACAGATGATTAAATTATACTCCTGTCACACCAAAGTTAGCAGGTATACTCAGGTTTTTTAAACCTGACTAAAGCTGCTGACTCCATGTGTTAGAGTTTTTTTGACCAGTGGAAAAGGGGCTTTGGCTTGGCATTGCCAGACTAGCTTTTTGCGTTCGTGAATGGTAAGATAAATAAATACAAGCAGGCTCATTGGTGTAATTTCCAGTCTGTGATGATATATAATAAAACAAACGGGTTTTGATTAGTTTATCTACAGTATCCACTTACATCTGCTCTATCTGCAATTTTTTTTTGTTTTTCAGATGTCAGGTAGGTTGAAGTTGTAGCCTTTCAAATGATTTAATGGCCTTCCCCACACTAATAGATATGTTTATGCCTCCACACCAGCGAAAGGTGTCGTCAGAGTTGTGATGGCAGTGTGAAGCATGCTCACCCATTCAGAAATGTGAGTCTAACCTACGTCGTGAATAGAGTAGTATAAATGTTTGAGTGTCTCCGGATAGAGCTGTTTGAAGTCAGAAAAGTAAAATATCTGTTGCTATCTCTGCTGCATGCTCCAGGGTGCATTAGGATCGACTAGCACAACACAGTCCAATCCACCACCCCACTGTCAGAGGTCCAGTTGCATTGTTGGAACTGTAGGCACCAGGTTTTAACAAGGAAGAAGATAAAAGCTCCCCCTGTGTGTAATAGTGCCAAACACATGCAGAGGTCAATGAAAAAAAGCCAGTGAAGCAGGTTGAAAAATGCTCAGTGACTCATTCACAGTATCGCTGACGTCATTGTGTCGACCTGACAGAGGGAGACTTTAATCTGTGACACATCTGAAACACGTCACTGAGGACAACCAGTCCATCCATTAAAGTGAATGGACTGTGAGGTACAGGATCGACTGACAAGTCATTCTATGGAATTAGATCAACAGCAGTTTGCCCTTAATGGGGACAGAACAAACACAGGAACAAAGCCTTTGGATTCCTTGCTCAAGGGCACCACAGTAACTGTTTATAAACCAGGGATTAGGTAACATTGCCACCTCACCACAACTTTGCATCTCATAACTGTACTTGCGTTGGGTTGAGTATCACATTGCCTGTACACAGTTTTTGTTTCTCCTAGTATAGTTTTTGCTCATAAATACACAATTACTGTCATGAGAGGATGACATAAACTGAGAAGTATAATAATAATGATAATAATGATAATAATAATAATAATAAGGCTGACAAGGCTGACAGTGGAGCTCTTGTTTCTAAATGACATTAAAAATTCTGTCTGACTCACAAGTCTGTTTTGGTGATACCAGGCACGTGATAAACATGTGACAGCAGAGGAATAGACTTCTTCTTTTTAGAGCTGGATTTCATATTGAGACCACTGATTGGTGTGATTACTGTTTTCTGCAGAGCCAGGGAGGCTGCTCACAGTTGTCTTCTCAGGGCAGGGGCTCCGTGGTTTGTGCGTCTGTTTTCATTTCTGTGCCTGCAGACGTAGGAACCACACCCAGTTCTGAATTCTGCGGTATTAGGTCAGTTTGCTGTTAATCCACCCACACTACTGCAGCTGAAGATACAGAAACGCTGCCATGGGAAGCATTTAGCACTAGCATTTATTTGGAGGAAATTCATCTGTGCAGACGAAGAAGAAGAAACTGGATGCTGACATACATCAGACATACGTTTTTTGCTGTCATGATTATCTTTTCCTCCATTGCTGCTTGGCTCCACGCTGCTGAGCTGGCAGTCTGAGCAGGAAGCTCTCTGATCAGTTTCAGTACTGCTGATCAATAAACACTCCACTGAACATCTCTGAGCTAATACACTGAACACAATTCTTACTAGTTTGCATCAGTAAGTTGTACTGTGCAGTGATTTGTCTGAAATGTAATTTTAGATCAGCCAAACACTGTGATTTTCTAAACATAGTTTATATCATTTGGACTCGTGGCTTCTACAGGAGCTTTTACTCTGGGAACCACACCTATTGCTGTTTCCAGTAAATCTAAGTCATCAACATGTATTGATAAAGAAATGAAAAAAGATAAAAAAATTCTATATATTTATAACAGATTTTATTCATGTCGTCCATGTCTATAGTCGTCATCTCTCCTCTTTCTCTAAAGTGGCAGCGCTCCCATTCAAATGACCTGTAGTCAGAAATGTGAAAGGAAGAAGTGGCTGCAGATTGGTGCTCAGGCTCAAAACCAGTCTGAGGAGTTTCCAAAACTGGTTTGTGTTCATTTTCCCTCCTGTTGTCCAAAGCATTCCACTCACATTAGCACTGAGGGTTGTTGTGCTGCCACTCATGTGGAGCACTGCTGTGACTCTGGGCTTCAGCGACTGGACGCCTGATATTATGTGGCAGGCTTTTATGTTTCTGCGCACAGGCTCCGACCATACAAGGCCTTTTTTTTATCATCGGCCCTCTGCTCTCCCTCTCTCTCTCTCTTCACATCATTAAAATCATTTTGCTTTCAGCAAGCCGCAAACAGCGACATTAGCAGAGCTCAGCTGTTAGTGCAAATCAGTGGGTAGACTTAATGTGATTAAAACTCACGTCTGAGAACAGATATGTGTTTTTTCTGTTTAATTGATGTGCTGACTTTTTCACCCGTGACTGTTCATTATTATTTACTGGGGATCAGAAATAACCCACATGGAAAAACCATGTACCGAAACATACATTTGTTCCAGTCTTCACCGAGGTTTTTATGTTTCATCAACATCATTTGTTTTGTTTGTTAGCAGGATTATGTAAAAACTCCTGAATAATCTTGGTGGAAGGATGTGGTATGGGAGGCATGGTTTTGCTTAATCTAATCTAACAACATTCTGTATCGTATCACAATTTTGTGATATTCAACAGGTTAAATCGATTATCTTGAAAAAAACCTTTATAATAATTCCCCTGCTGCTCCCGATTCTACCTGATGTTTACATGACCCCAGCTATGTGTGCTCTACAGTGGGATCTGGTGTGTGGTCAGTACTGGCTGGTCCCTGTGGAGGAGGTGTGTTTCATCCTTGGCGTCCTCACTGGCTGTCTGGGTCTGGGCTATGCTGCAGACAGGTAATACATCCCAAACACACACGCGCGCACACACATGTAGACAGAAAAAACTTTCCCCATGAGGATGATCAGCTCAGATAATTGGATGTTTTCCCAGCTACCACTGTAGTGGTGACTCAGCAGTATTTTCATGTTAATCAAATCAGAGAATCCTGTGTAATACCTCTTTAACACCAAAATCTGCAGGTATACCTGCTAAAAAAGCAGTTGACTCCTCATGAATGTACCTTAAATTTGCACGTTCACCTGGGTGTCCTGTTTTCATCGCTGCCGATTGGAACCAGAGCCATGTAAAACCTGTGGCTACTGAAGAGTTTGACCTGGGAGTGAATACTGATTGTATCCATTCCCACTGCTGACAAAAGCCAGATGTAAGTGGGTGATGGTTGGTTTTTTGACCAGTGGAAAAGGGATTTGGCTTGGCATTGCCAGGTGAATGATAAATAAATACATAATAAGTTAAGAGAACAGTCAGACAAGAGATTTCCGATTCTCCAGGTCCTCGTGTCCGATTTGTTCTTGAACTCAAAATTGAATAAAATTGTGTGATTCAGCATTAATTATTATTTTCAATTTAAATAATTAATTTTATTTTATTGAGTCATTACTCCGTGAGAGATTACATTAGTCTTGTTTCATTTAAATGAAATTGCTGTAGATTTAGTAGTTCCACTGTGAGTCAGCAGCCGGTGGCCACCAGTCGACAGGAAGACAGATTTAGTAACTTGCTCCTCAAAGGGCATCTCACTGGTGTTTCCATTAAGACAGAAACCATTTGAACAAATGCTGCAGTTTGCTACAGACACACTGTGGAATATATCACAATCCAATTTACTGCACATAAGCAATTATTTGCCAAGAAATAAATAGTAAAAAAAAACATTCCTAAGCATTGTCATGCTGGATTTTAAGACGTCATGTTAGGGAGTCGCCCTTGGACCACCCCAAGTATTTTAGATAATTGATATAATGGATCTTGTGTGTGTGTGTGAATATGTGTGTGCTGATTAAAAGCCACGCAGAGGAAGCTGCATTTCTGGGGGCATTGTGAAGGAGATGGTGCCAGTTTAATCAGCTAACAGCCTTCATTAATTTGCTGACCAACTGAGCATAGCATCTGTTTGTTAAGACTGGTGAATTAACGCTGCCTCCTGGGATGTACAGAGAAGAAAAGGGAACAGTGTTAATCTGTAGCTTGGAAACGAAACTGCTGTACCTGCACGAAGCTGGAAACTGGCAAATCATCACTGGGTTATATCCGTCAGGAAGTGCAGTATTTGTTATGAGGTTTTCTTGTCTCGCCGTGGTGTTGTATAATAACACAAGCGTGTGTGGGTCATGTCGTCTTTCAGTGTGCATGTCTGTGTCTCTGCAGGCTGGGCCGGTCCAAGACTCTGCTGACCTCCCTGACCCTGTCGGTGGTGTTTGGGGTCCTGGTGTGTGTCTCTCCGTACCCCTCCATCTTCATTGTTATGCGTTTCTGTCTGGCGGCTGCTAGTGCGGGAGTCTACCTCACTCTGTACATCACCCGTGAGTATTTTGAAGGAGGCACCTCTGATACACACTGGTGTAGTAACTAACTTGACCTTCAACTATTTGTAATGAAATCTCAGAGGGACTGAATTAATTAAATCTGGATATAACCCTGTATTATTTACACTTTTTAAATATGGAAAAGTAGAGGACAGATGTAACCCTCAGAAAACTGACGTTCTTCGGGCCACCCTTAACTGGGCTCAGGGGATTGTTGTTTGCATGATCCAATATAAATCTATGTAAAATAAAAACTACAATATTTAGATCATTCATCCTTTTTCAGAAAATGCCTCATCATGGTGTCTGCTCTTGATGACATCATTACTTTTAGTTATGGTAAAAATTGTGTTGAGTGTTTAATGAATAATTTGTTCAAGTTTCTATATTTAAAGATGTTAAGAATCAGTTTGTTTTTATGTTTATTAAGCAAAAAGGGTGTGATAAACATCTTTCTATTTTTTGGTAAATCTTTATTATGAATTATTGACTTGCATAACCTTTTAGCTAAGCTTGTACAGAGTTTTGTTGTATGAAGAATTTGAAGAAGCTCCAATGACATCACAGAAAGTGAAAATACCAATGTAGGCACTGGCATTTTATTTCAATTGCAACACATTTTTGCAGCACAAAAACACATTTCATCCAATTTCTGTAGCATAATTATAAGGTATGTATATTTGCCATTTATATGTACATTCACATGCTCTGTGCTTGTGCAAAATGGAAGCTATAGTATGTTTCAGTTTGCTTTCAGAGTGCCCCACCCCAATATGAGGTGTTTGTCTGTCAGGTCTGGAGCTGTGTGAGCCCTCTCTGAGGCTGGTGGTGACGATGCTGGCCGGGCTGATGACTGTAGCCGGAGAGCTGCTGCTGCTGGCCGTGGCACTGGGCTGCCAGTCCTGGAGAGGCCTGCTGGGAGCTGGGGCCGCACCGCTGACACTGTTCCTCAGCTATGGGTACAAATATGTCTCTGACTTAAATCAGAAGTGTTTTCTTTTGACTGATGTGTTGGAACCTTTGCTGGGTTTTATTGATCCAGGTCCCCTCATCACCCTGAGCCCTTCAGCTCATGTCAGAACACATCAGGGCCACTTTGTTTGAAGTCTCCACTCCCTGTAAGGCCTCTGTTTCAAGATACGCCTCCATTTAAGTTCAAAAATCAAATTAACAGAGATTATAGAAAGATTACTGGCAATGAATTTCAGGTATTAAAAAGAATGGAAGAAAGCTGGGATTAAGAACTAAAGACCCACACTGGTTATTTTCCATGTTGAAGCAGCAAATCTGGGTCACAGCACAAATGTGTATATACTGTTGGTGTTGGGTAAAGGTCAGCATAGATTGAAAAGTATGTGAGGCCTGTATTTTGTCTCTGCTCTCCTGCAGAATTCCTGGAGTGTTTCCAGAATCCCCTCGCTGGCTCCTTCTGTCAGAGCGATCTGCAGACATGAACTCGTTCAGCGACAGACGAAACTCCAACAGAGACGTGAGGGATGACGAGAGCTTCACAGGTGTGTTTGTGTGTGTGCAGTGTTGGGTTTACTCCCTCATTCTGTTTCGTAAAATGAGAGCAACTGCCGGCCAGAATACATGTTCAATTGATCTAGTCTGCATTATTTATATGTTCGAGTATCTATCACACACCACACCACTACCAAGAGCTCAGTTCTAACCCATTATTTATTTAAAGTTCCTCAGTAAAAATTGAATTTTAATGGTGCACATTGACTAACCAGTCGCTACAAAACCATCTGAGCTGGACTTTCACTCCACAGTTTGCATGTTAATGTTGTGTGTGAGTCGAGGTAACTGAACACAAGCTAAAAGCCTCAAACAAATCTTCCACTGTGTTATTCACTTGACACTACTTTACTCCACTCTGTGATGTTACTCACATTTGGAATCAGACTGCTGGAAGAATTTGATTTGCTGTCAATACAATCACAGACACAGAGCAGACAGACATCCACTGTAGTTCATCCAGGGTTTCTGCTGCATGCAGCTCATCGTGCAAAATTATTATCGCCGCTGCTTCTGCATTAGGGCAGAAGCATAGGTTGTCTTGTACCATACTGAGTATCCCACCGGAGTGTTCTCCCTCTTAACTTTCCTGCTGAACTACGCTCACCTTACACTTGAACAATAAACACTTACACTGATCTAAAGTTAGGACCCACACAGTACTTGAAGTTCACTTTCTGTTTGTTAAATCCACTTTAGAATTCATAAGTCATCAATTTTTCATAAATGTTTTGAAAAGAAAGTCCTGCACTGCCAGAACATTACGGTTAAAGTGGACTGGAATGATCCAGATTCTAACCCTAACCCCCTTCAAACCTATTCGACAGTACTAACCACTGGAACACTTATGAATGTGCATATACATAAATAAATGAAATTAACATAAAGGTAATTAGACATTTTATATGGTTAAAGGTCAGTCATAGGAGTTGTAGTTGTTGACCAATGCACCAATAAACACTTAAAAGTAATTCTCTCTGTGAGTTACCATCGTTAGTAGAGAAAGAACCCTGATTCACGTTGATAACACAAGTGACCTGTTCATGTGCTGTGTATGAATCGATTGAGCTTGTGTGCTCCTGACATTGACTGTGAGCTATTGATTCAAAGCGGCTCACGTCATTATTCTCTGTGTTATTGGACTGTTATTAAAAAGAGAAATGCTGTTTGTGTACTGCAGAGCTGGATTCAGAGCCATCCTCCTCCTGCCGTCCCCACCTGTCCTTCCCCGAGCTCTTCCACAGCAGGAACATCTGGAAAAACTTGTGTGTGCTCGGGTTCACCTCGTAAGTCATCCTGCACTTTTATCATCCATTTACACCTCTGGAAAAACATGGCTGCTCACTCAGTGTCCTTCCTCCCTCAGCTTCATCTCTCACGGCATTAGTCACTGCTACAGCTCATTCAGAGGTGACGTCAGAGGCACCGCCCCCAGTTTCTATTGGATGTACCTGTTGTCAGTGTGCGCAGGCGGTGGCGCCTGGCTCTTGCTCTGGGCAACTGTGGACAGGTGTGGTCGCCGAGGTATCCTGCTCCTCTCCATGACGATGACAGGGCTTGCCTCTTTGATCCTCCTCGGACTCATGGAGTGTAAGTGGGCTTTGGTCGGCTGTAGGATGTTTTTTTCTCTAAGGACATCGAGAATTAAAGAGGACAGCCATTAATAGTCTTAACCAACAATGTGCACCCCCCCCTCTAAAAAATCACACCTGTCACCTTTAGTCTAGGTGTTCTCTGATAGAGAAACACACTGTCTCCCCCATGTGGCCAATAACGAGCCCGACACAGAGTTTATATAGGACACTGCAGTGGCAGCAAAGTCAAAGCTGTGTCTGGTTGTGCTTTAATAACGCATTGTGGGCTGAGGGGGGGGCAGAGGCACTCGCTGTGAGGAGGTTTTAGGTGAGCTCCTCTTCTACTTAATGCTCTCTGAGTCAGTGAAGGAGTTTTAGAAAAAGCTTAGGGAGGTTGATTCAGTTCAAGTCAGGCATGATGTATGATCTGAAAATGAAAAGTAGAAATGCTGCACTTGATCAAGGTAATACATCATCACTAATGGGTTTGCCCCCTCCTTCCCTTCTTCCTCCTCTCTGTTAGACCTCAGTGAGACGGCCATCACAGTTTTCTCAGTGTTGGGTCTGTTCTCCTCTCAGGCCACCGCCTCACTCTGCATCCTCTTTACTGCAGAGATCATGCCCACCGTTATAAGGTAGGACAACATGCACGCACGCACGCACAACACACACACACACGCCCGGAAATTTAGGGGACGAGGGGAGTAACATATTTTGGGGCTCCATGAAGAAAGCTGAAATGTGGACAAATCAAGAATTATTGACAATTAAACAAAAAATAATGACACTCACGCTGCATTTCGAAATTTAAAGTGGACTCAAATATTTTTGCAGATATAAAACCTCTTATGAAAAATACAGTAAACCGTGACTTAGGAGAGAAGGAAACCTCATCAGTAGCTGTCAGTTATGATGAGATATTTTCTGACATCTGGAAATAAATCCTTATAAACGTGGATCACTCTTATACAAATGATACATCAGTGAGCTGTTGAGGTGCTGGTTGTTGGTCATTGTTTCTATTCGTTTCCAACCTTAATGCTAAGCTAACAACACAATTTCATCTCATCTGAGACCTCTGTTATTAAATCTGGAAAATCAGACCAACAGTGTGTTCACAAATAAGCGATGCTAACACTTAACACTGAATTTGAATAAAGTGTGGTAACGGTCAAATCTGATTGGTGTGTCTGTTCAGGGGCAGTGGCGTTGGCACCGTACTCGCTCTGGGCTGCGTGGGCCGCCTCAGCTCCCCACTCATGGACCTGAGGAACCACTACGGCTACTTCCTGCACCACGTAGTCTACTCGTCTCTGGCGCTGCTGGCCGTGCTGTCCATCCTGCTGCTGCCCGAGAGCAAGAGGAAGCCGCTGCCACAGACACTGGCTGACGGAGAGCAGTACAGACGCCCCCCGCTAGGCAGGAGGAGGAGGGACAACGTGCCGCTGCTGGCGACGCCCAACCCAGAGACTTAAAAGACCCAGAGACAAGAGGCATGGACTGTGTAGTGTTGCAGCCAGGACATTTACATTCGGCATGTTCCTGCCAAGGAGAAAAAGGACAGAGCGGTGCAGAGACTTGGGATGGATGGAGACAGAACGAGGTCAAAGCTTCCTGACGTATAGTCCTCTTGTCGCACTCGACACAGACTGATGGTTCAGCTGCCAATATTCTACATCTTCATTTTTCTGTTTCTTGTCATTTAGATGTTTGAATGTGTTTGAACACACTCCCACACATCATCTTTTCTACATCTCCCAACAACAGACCCCACACAGCAAGATGTTAGCTGCTTATTACCATCCAGACACGACGAGGCTCGGGTGTTAGCCTCAAATTATTCTTAGCGTTTGTCTAAACCTGTGTACACTGTTTTTTTGTCATGTCAGAAATGTACGAAAATTACACAAAGGTTGATTTTCTGTACTTCTGTTTAGCTGACACTCCAAACAGAGTAGGACTCTGTTCTCTGACGTCTGTTGTAACACTTTAGTGGCTGTGGGTGATACATGCCGTGTAAATACTCTAGACCTAGTTTCTTTAACTTTAGCTTGAGTTTTGGAAACTGTATGCACAGTATGCTATGCAGTGGAGAAGCAGCGCAGAGGAGTTGAATCATTATTTTATAAGATAATGGTTAATTAGTCTTCAAATTTAAGGAACAGTTTTATGAGCATAAATGAGCCATTATCAATCTGGGGATCAAAGGCAAATAAACAGAACAAAAAGGCCTTAAATCAGAATATTCATGTTTAAACCACCAAATCTGGCCTGGAGCCAGCTATATTTATAACTTTTGTTGTTAATAGGCATAATTAATAAATTATCCAGAAGCTGGAGGCTTTTGGTTCTAAGTTAAAAACTATTATATTGTCATGGAGGAAAAGTAAACTTTTCTCTGGTCCACTGACTGTCACAACATTCCTATCTGCATGTTTGGAGAATCTTGAAGGGCTTGTTTCCTTGATCTGTTTTACTTCTGTACTTCTCTAGATGGCCAGTCTCAGCTGTAAGAGAATAGACGGGTACAAACAAACTACATTAGAAATTGTAAAGTGTCTTGTGTGTAACCAGACACGTTTTTTTGTCAGGACATAGAGGTCGTCTTGTTATTTGAACTGAATGTTTTATCAATGCTGGAGAAAGGGCCCGATGATGACGCTCCGTGAGGTCTGAGTGGGAGCGGGTGAGGGCCCCCGCAGCTCCAAATAAACCCACCCCTCTACTCCTCCTCGGCCACACATCGAAGATGGCTGTTCTTTATGTTGAGTGTGAAATCTTGACAGAGAAATACCAAAGCACGTCAGTGTGATGATGTGCTCGGGTAATTCTGAAGTTGGGTGAGTGGCAGTAGGAGACCGAGGTGGGGGGGGTTTGTTTGAGGAGCTATTGAAGGACACTAAACCTCTGCTGGCGCCCTCCTCTGTCAGCCTTTGGTAGTTTTTTTTAAATGTCCTCTGTATGTTGCACTCAACGAGTCCAAACACTTATACACTAAATATTGTTAACTTGGCTCGAGTAATATTATTATACCTGACCTATAACACTGATGATCTGTTCAATGATGAGTGTGATGTTGTAAACTCTATAGCCTGATTTCATGTAAAATTAAACTTGTTACTTAAACTACATATGGATGTTTTTAAGTGGTGTTGTGGGATGAGTCAGAAAATGCTGCAAGAGCATGAAAATCAAAGAATTACACTTTGACACATTTTTCTGTGTAACTGGGTCATTTTAGATAAAAACAGAAACTAGTGGTAAATGGGTTTAAATCTAGATGGATGTATATTTAGGTTGAAACACAGATGGGAGAGTCAATCAGAAACTAACAAGGCCTGTCTGTAGTGTTACATACACTCACTTTGACGTCAAGGTAAGACCCTTTTGTAAAGTTGCCTTGAGGATACAAATGTGTTTAATATCTCAGGCAGTACACACTACAATGTACAGTATCACTAACTCGTGAAATTACAGTTGCTACGTCACTCTAACTGTATTTTACATATCATTCCAGATACATGGAAGAGTTTCTGTGAGTATGAATGTCTCTGCTCTTAATTTGAGATATTTAGAAACTAGAGTAAACTGCACCTGCTCCCTTTAAGAACCAGTAGGTGGCGATAATGAACAGCTGAGGATGAGGGCAGCCTGGATACAGCTGCACCAAAAGAGAAAAGCTAACAATTTTAATATATTTTTATTAGATAATCCTTTACTAGTCCCATCATGGGGACATATACTGTGTGGCAGTAAAAGTAATAAATAACATGCAAATTCAAAAAATATAAATACAATATAAATAATGCATACAATGTAAACAGAAGATTGCACAGTTTTATGAGTGAATCTTTATTTTTGTTATTGCTGATGTGCACACTGTGAACGCAACAGTTTGATTTGACAGTCATGTCAAATGCCTGTTGCATTTCCTGAATGTTTTTATTTGTAAAACTGATCAAATGACAGAGTAGTACAAAATATAACACATGTTTTTGACACCTTACAGATCTGAGGGGAATAAATTAGACTAGAAATGCTCCTCTTGACCGAAAACACATAATGAACTATAAATGAATATTTCAATTTGCTCTCTATTTGTGCTGTAAAAAATCATGGCAGTGATCAGAACAACGGGCTCTAATCATGTGTTTCTATTCAACCTACAGACCCAAATATACTATACCTGTCACACTCTCCACCACCTAAATCAGAGACAGACGCTCAGTGCCAGCGAGTTATCTTTGTCCTCAAGGACGACAGGAAGGAGACAGAGACCAGCAGCAGAGACCGGCGGCACTAATGTCTCATTGTCACGGTGAAGAATGGAAACGGCAGCATCATATATTAAACTCAGTGTGTAACTCTGCTTTGAGGCGAGACAGTTCTTTAACTTACTGTATCAAGACCCTGTTGGTTGACCCCTTAAAGTTCATGCAAGTGTGTGTGCCACATGGTTTTGTTCTTCAGCAGCAGCACATTCAAAGTGAAATTAAAATTTTAAAAATCACATGAAAGAGCCAAGCCTCATCTTTATATTGCAGAACTGTTTGACAAGGAATAATTGTGAAGTAGCTCCAGAGCATTTACACAGGACAAGAAACCAGCACATTCTAAACAGACAGGTTTAGAACTGGTTTTAAGAATATTAAAAGTTGTCCTAATGAATTGCTATTCTTATCAAACACACACAGTGTGGTTGAAAATCATCTTCACAACTCTTCACCTATACATCTATGCACCTGTCACATTCCACATATGCACCTGCTCCAGTCTGTCTTTATGTCAAACATACTACAGCAGCAGAGCGGAGCGACAACTGTAAGTCATCTGATAGTAAGAACCTTGCCACAGTTTGACCCTGAAAGTCAGAGCGGTGCTGTGGAAACAAGGTGTGGAGCTGTGGAAGCTGAGATATGAGATGGTGAACAGGTCGTATACTTCCTCCAGTCACAGGGTCATGTTTGGACTGTACGGAGGGAGGCCGCACTTTCCCTGAGGTACATCGTACTGACAGCTCTGTTGACTTTTACTACAGTGAAGCTGAGCTCAGCACCTTGTTATTTACAGGACAACTGTTTGCCAGCTTGAAATGTCTTACATGACTTGCTTGTCTTCACTCTTATCAAATAATACTGTAAAAGTGAAAAAACACAACACTATGGCTAGAATTCCAGCTGTGTCAGCGGCACAACTTCCTTTGGTTCGGACCACAGAATCGACCTGGTTCTCTGGTCCAACACCCTGCGTGTCATCTAGAATTAACAGACCTGTGGGAGGATGCTGTTGAAGAAGTGAGTGAGAGGAAGAGACGATACGATCGATATGCATGACTGTTGTCGATCAGTAGAGGATGAGTGAAAACAGGCTGCTCACATGTAGCAGAAAGGCAAATTAGGTGAGTATTCTCCGTATAACAGCTGATAATCTCTTGTACGTGTTAATGAGGGCTAAATCGACTGCTCGGGGTCAGGACCTGAAGTGAGGAGCGTCGAGTGTTGAAAGGCTCTTGTTTAAAACACAGAGGTCTTGGAGGAGCAGATTCTCTCTCCTCCTGCTGAATGTCTGAGAGCACTTATCACTTTGTAGACGGCCTTACACTTTGCATGGCGCAGAAATAGCTGCAATGATCCTTGTGTTGACTGCAGACGCCTTCAATTTCCTCCGTTCACTTAAAGAGTTTGAAATAGTGTTCAGTGAGTCGGGTGATAAATCTTGAGTTGTTTGCAGATGTGGACGTACACAGAAGTTAACACATTCTTTACTCAAGTAGAGTACTGTTGTTTAAAACAACCTCAGGTTATTTAAAC